TTGGGATAACATAACCAGATAATGCAGATTCCAGTATCAGGCCAGCCTGGTGGTCAAAAGGATCCAGCTGAACCCTGGGAGGGAATCCCTTGGGGGCAGAGGGGGAAGGTGAGATGGGGAAAAGAGGAGAGAGTCTATGTCTTCTCTCCCTCCCCTTGACCAGAGAATACCCTTGTGAGCTTCAAAAGTTTGCAGGAGTTGGCTTAACTTCTTACTGGCTGTATCCCCAGAGTAATAGAGGCTGATGGCTGCATCTGCACCAGGAGACAAGACAAAGTAGACCCCACAAGGGCACTGACCCTGAGAGCCCAGCAGAGACCAAAACCCCCCAAAGGGGAGCTTCGTGAGGATGCACAAAGGGAGAAAAGACACCAGGCACTGTGTGTCACCCCTTGGTCACTTGTACTATCTGAGTTGGAGCCCACTGAACCCTGGCTTTTGTATGGACTTGTGTGAAAGTGTGTCCCAGACTTTCGTGGAAGGGTGGTTTTATGAAAACTAGTCTCGCTGTATACCGCATCCTTAGGTACCTTTTTCTACAATCCAATTAACTCTGGCTGGCTCATTGATAATTGCTGGGGGGAGCACATCGAATGAGGCAATAGTACTACAAAACCACCCCAGTTCCTCAAGGTCACCCCTAGGACCCTAGCAGAGAAGAAGTCGGCCTCCCTCTGGGAACCTCTGTCCAACCAACGTGTGCGGGAGTTGGGACAGTGAGTCTGGGGTCATGAGGAGGGCAGACAAGCTACATTGCTGTATAATATTCTATGATATTGAGTAAATATAATACTCTATGATATGATAAAATAAATGACCTTGAGGGAAGGGGAAACAATTCAAAGTTGAAACCATTAAGAGAAATAGGGAGGAAAATCATTTCCTCTTTCATGGCTTCACAAATGACAACATAACATCAATATTACATGCATGGGTATTGAAAAGCACAGCAACTAACTAATGAAAGGGAGAGTTAAATTTTGGAATTCAGTACGATTCCTACCTGCCAACAGCCACACTCCAAGTGAACTCTCCCAGCCCCTTGTCTAGAACCAGTGGACAGAAGGCTGGGCATGGAAGCAGGAAACCCCACTTACTAGCTGTGTGATGTTGGGCAAGTCAATTAACTTCCATCTGCCTTAGTTTTCTCAACTAAAATGTGGGGATAATGATAGCACCTACCTCCCAAGTTTCATGTGAGAAGCAAAGAAGATAAACTCTTTAGTACCTGGGACATAGGCGGTGCTTAATAAATGCTCCTTTTCTTCCTGCCTCCCCACCCTTTCCTTATCCCAACCACAAACATGGTCCTAAAGCACAGGTAAGGCCATGTTAATCCCTTGTTTGAAAACAAAAACAAAAACTCCATTGCTTCTCTTGCTTCAAGTTAAAGTACAAACTTCTGTGTCTGGCATTTACAGGAATCTTTACAATCTGGCTCCAGCCTACCTTCCAGGCTCACTACACATCCCCTTCAAGCACTCTATGTACCAGCCAGTCTGGCCTGCCTGCTGATGCTCACATCCCACATTTCCTCTACCATCTCTGTACCTCTGCTAAGACTGTTCTTGTTGCATTGAATGATCTTCATCTGGTGATCCTAGAAAGTCTAGCTTCCTTCAAAACTGAGCTCCATTTTCTCCTCCTACATGAGTCTTTTCCTGATTCCTGGGGGATTAATTTTTCTCCCACCTCAAAATTACCTTGTATTCACCTAATCAATGTACATGCCATTTCCTCTAACAGAATATAAACTGCTTGAGGGCAGGTACTGTTTTTTTGTTTGTTTGTTTTTTGTCTTATCCCCAACACCTAGCAAATGGTAGACAAGAAAATGCTTTTTTTCTTTGTTTGGTTGATTAAAATTCCTTGTAATCTGCTTTGTTCTCTAGTGCTGGAGTTTCTTTCTCATTCTCTATGATCATTCAAAAGATCATAGATCAACTGGTAGAGGAAATATCAGGGATCATTTGACCCCTACTCCCTAACTTTAAGGCCAAAGGTGGTGGAGTGACTTGCCAAAGATCACATGGGGAATAATAAGGGCATGTGAGTGAATTTGAACCCAGGTCCTCTACCTCCAGAGCCAGTGTTCTTTCCTGAGTGCCAAAGAAACTTCTCCCATCCTTTTCTTCTTCATTATCATTGATCCATCCACCCAGGCTACAATCCCATTCCTGACAATGGCTGAACAGTCACATTGGTCACATTTTTCAGAACCCTGGGATGTAGCATGTCTGGACTTAGTGCCGTGAACTCCTCAAAGACAACTGTATGTACTCCTCCTATTTATCATCTCTGGTTTCACTCCTTAATAGACACTCTTGGTCTCTTCCAGCAAAGGGTTATCCTCCAAGAAGCAAAATAAAAATCCAGCAGGGTCATAGAAGTAGAAGGGTCCTTAAAGGCCAAGCCCTCCTTTTTTTTTTTTACAAACAAGTCCCAGAAATGGTAAGTGACTTGCCCAAGCTCCTCTAATTAGTAAGTGGCAGAGGTGGGATAGGAATCAGGAATGTGCTGGAGCTTGTAAGATCCCACTGCTAAATTTTCAGTGTGGGCATTTACAATTTGGAAATCAGTGAATGCTCTAAATCAGGGCTTGATTGTGTTGTTGATCGTCCACACTTAAGAAATGATGGATCTCGTTTTAATCATCTAGATTGCGTTTAAAAGTACACTGGGAGAATATTTTTTGGGTGGGAAGAGCTGATTGTTAAACATTTACCAGCACACACACTCTTGGATAAAAAACCAGGCTCTGTGAGTCCAGAGACAATCCTCTGTCTCAGAAAATCTTCTCCCTTTTCTTTATTATCATTGTCTCCTCCAACCCACACGACTTTCTTATTCCTGCTTTGGTCCTCCTCTTTCCCCAGCATAACTTTAAAAAGTTTTGACTTTGTTTTTTTCTGTCCCTAACTTCCTTGTCCTTTACCAGCTCAATCTTGCTTTTAGCACTCCTTACATTATTCTTTTGGGCACCTAAGTGGTAAAGCAGATAGAGTGCCAGGCTTGGAGTCAGGAGGGTCTGAGTTCCAATTTGACCTCAGCTACTTCCTAGCTATGTGACCTTGGGTAAGTCACTTAAGCCTGTTTGCCTTAGTTTTCTCATCTGCAAAATGAGCTAGAGAAGGAAATGGCAAACCACTCCAGGAACTTTGCCCAAGAAAATTCCTCTGGGATCTCAGAGAGTCAGACATGACCGAAAGGACTCCACAACAGCAAGAACACTATTCTTTAAAGGCCATGACATGCTTTTGTAATCTGTTGCTTCTATTTTCCATGGGATAACATTCATATCACATTCTGCTATCATCAGTGAGATATAGAAGGGGTCTTACAAAGTGATAAAGGCCATTTTGTACCTTTATCTGTTTAATGGGTTGCTATGGTCAAAAAGTGTATCATTTTCTACTGATGAAGGTCTTTTTACTGAAGTCGACTGGTTCTTAGGCAACAGGCACAGCCTTTTACTTGGCTTATAATAACAATTTACCAATAAACAATGGGAAAACAAAGTGAATAAAAAATGCACATTGCCCACATTTATGATCTGTTATAGACAGGGAACCCCATTGAAGTAAAGGTCAGTTCTAAAGGCGTCATACTCAACTCCAGTCCTTTTGCCAACTGCCCAGTGGGCAGCTACAGCTATATAGACTGGGCCTTCATCCTTGACATTGTCAAGGCCTCCTGCATGCTCTGGGTCCAGGGCTTTTGGAAAATATGGCAACTCAAAAAGACAAGCTAAGGCAACCCTTAATATTCCTTAACGATGTACACATTGTATACTGCAATAGAACATAAGTGCTTTGAGGACAGGGAGATTCTTATTTTTCCCTTTGTATCTCCAGCACCTACACAATACTTGGCACCCAGTAAGCGCTCAATAAATGTATGATGAATTGAAATTTAATATTTCATGCTTACTAGTGTAGCACTTGAGTCGTCCATGTTTGTTATGCCTGGTTCTCATCACATGACTAACCTACCTCCTTTCCGTGCTCTGTACATGAAATGGTGTCTCTCCTGGTACATCATGCAGCCAAGCCCTTGTTAGTAATACATTACAGAGGACAGAACTTACATTCACCACATATATTTCCTTCGTTCTTTGGGATTCCTGCCATTTTGGTTTTTCCAAGATTGCTGTCTGCCATGGCCTATGGCCATAGAGCATCACTGGCAAGAATACTAGTGTGAAAAGATGAGTTTTTGCAGTATTGAGGAAGTTAGAATCATTAAGAATACTGATCTCCCAATGATGTCTATCTTGATTTCCTCCTTTGCTCTCCATACCCAGCTTTTGCCTGCTTCTGGCACAAATGGGCTATCCAGGATTTCATACAGCGTACATGGAGAGAAGTTGCATATGGTAAGACTGAAAACTGAGTGTGGTGCCAGATAACTGAGGACCTTAAAGGCTTGGAAAAGACGAAAGCCTAAGGAAAGGAGTCTCACCTTCACTTGGTATGCAATAGGAAGATGCTGATGGTTTTTGAGAAGTGTGGAATGAGCAGATCTATGGGCCAAAGAAGATATCTGGCAGATGTATGAATGAGAGATTGGAAGGGAACATAACTGAGAACAGAGGACCTGTCAGAAAATACTCTACTTCTCTAGGCAGGTGATAATTGAAGTCTGCATCAGAAAGGATGTAGTGGAAATAGTGTTGTTTGTCGTCCATTCTCAAAGATCACAGTGACATATGGCCTCACCTCCCTGATGTCATGGTGGTGGAACTATACAGTAGAGGAATGGGTATGTGAAAAAGGTGTTGCACACATAGAACTTAAAAGATTTGTAAACTGGCTGGAAATCCTCAAGTCCCCCATCATCCAGGGAAGCAGCTTCTATCAAGATGGGACAAGTCGTCTCCACCAAGTGCCAACCAACTGACACTTCCAAGGCAAGCAAGCCAGTATAACTAAAGCAGGAAGGCACCTGGAGAGAGAGGTAGAAGGTGGTATGTGCCAGGGGAATCAAGTCACCCCAGAACTTCCAACACAACCTCCCATGAGACTCTGATGAAAATAGCCAAGGATGCTGAACCCAAGGGCCCTAGGAATATCACTGTCTCCTAGAACACTGATCCTGCTTTAGCACAGGTCCTGAAGCCAGAAATGAGAGGAGCCATCATTGTAGAGGAAGGGGCCACCTTCCTCACCACCACCACCAGCTCACCAACTGCCACTAAGGGACCAGTCAGGCCAGAACCCATAGAGTGAAAAAAACTCTCTAGACCAACCTGGCCGACTTCCAAGCCCAGCCTCTGAAGCCATCATCCCAGATACCAACCCAGGAAGGAGATGGGACCTGTCCACTACTTCTCCAGGTACTAAAGCCCCATCTCTTCAGTAATCACACTTGCTTAAGAGCCAGACAAGAAAGTTCTCCCCACCAAAGGTCTTGGCACTACGAAATGGCCCAACAGTATAAATGGACACTAATGTATGTATCAGCCTGGATCTTTATACAACAGGGAACAAGAGGCACAATGCTTTCTTGTTGCTGTTTTTCCATTTGTTGATATCACTGTTTTCCATGATAAAGCATTCAGAGACGCAAGTAGATGTTTGATATACGGTTGACATTTGAAAGTGAGAGTTCATCCTTTCCAGGGGGAATTGGAGAGAAGAGCTCATCTAACTACCTCACATTCATTGTTTACTTTGCTCAAACTGGTGAGGAGAGACAGCTTGTTACCACAGATGAGTCTTGGGTATGGAGTCAGAAAGGCGAGTTCTAACACAAACCAATGTGAGATCATGGGCAAGTCACTGAAACCTCTCTGAGACTCAGTTTCCTAATATGTCAAAGTAGGTGATGTTATCTACTGTACAAAGTTGTAGCAGAGTTACATAGTGTTCCATACAGGGTGTCCCAAAAGTCTTGATGCAGTTTTACACTTTCATAGCTTTGGGGACAACTTAAAAGAAAATTAAAGCCTCATATAATCATTGGTTGGTTGTATTTGGTCCATGCCTGCCAAGAAGTAGCTTGCTCATTTTCTAGTGTATGGCAGTCTACCTGAATGCCACTTTACCATTCACAAAACCCTAAGCTTCTTCTTGGAGGAGAGAGATTTGGATCTTATTGAAACCATGGTCAGAATGTACACTGCCAGCCGTATAGTAAAAAAAAAATGGGTAACATGTTCCGGGATACCCACTAATCAGCATATATTTCTGTCACATTTACTGAGCAAGAATTTCCCCTAAAAACTCTGTTTGTAAACGATCCACACACCTCTGTCTGAAGAGTCTTCTTGCCTTTCCCCAGCTGTCCTGCATGGTCCTTATGAACTGGGTTGGCCGTTCTTTTGAAAGGCACATGGGGCATAGAGGAAATTGCTTCAAGGGGTGAATCAAAAGGAGACTGAAAAGAGAAATTGCAGCCTATGTGCATGAGCCTTTACCACCAGCCTTATGGATAGAACTAAAAAAGACCACCCCACTGCAGTCACTCAAATGGGTAACAAGTAACACCAAGATTCTTCCCTACTAATCTAGCATTAGTCCTTAGACATATTAATGGTCCCCAATAAACAGTGCTACCATGACTGTCAGCAAAGGGTCTTTACCTCCTTTTTGAGAAACAAGATGAAACGTTATTCTTGTGTATACATAGTTGTTTGCTTGTTTCCTCCTCCATTAGAATTGGGAGCTCCTTGAGGGCAGAGGACTGTCTTTTCCCTTTCTTTGAATCCCCCATGCTTAGCACAGTGACTGACACATACCTGGCATTTAATAAATGCTGGTTATCTTAAGTTGACAGGAAAGTGAGTGTGCCTATCTAGACAGACCTATTGGGGTACAAGGACCATGAAAATTTATTTCAGAGAGAGAGAGAGAGAGAGAGAGAGAGAGAGAGAGAGAGACAGAGAGAAGAGAGAGAGAAAGAGAAGAAGAAGAGAATAGAGAGAAGAGAGAGAGAAAAGGAGGAAGAAGAGAGAAGAAGAAGGAGGAGGAAGAAGAAGGAAGAAGAAGGAAGGAAGGAAGGAAGGAAGGAAGGAAGAAGGAAGGAAGGAAGGAAGGAAGGAAGGAAGGAAGGAAGGAAATATGGAAGGCTCTCCCTGTACTCTGAGTTCCTAAGACGTTGGCCTCTTTATTGTTCCTCAAAGCAGAAACTCTACCTCTCAATTCTACGCATTTTCGCTGGTTGTACCAGTGAATCCTCTCCCTCTTCATAGCCATTTCTTGTTTTCCTGGCTTCCTTAAAGTTCTACCTAAAATCCCACCTTCAATAAGACATTCCTGTAAGTTCTTAATTCTAGTGCCTTCCCTCTGTTAATAGCTGGTTTTATATCAATAGCAGAGAGAAGAGAGGGAGAGAAAGAAGGGAAGAAAGAGACAGAGAGAAGGAAAGAGAAAAGAGAAAAATGTTCATGTATAACACTGAACAAATGACACTGAAAAGTGGAACTTTTGGGAATTTAGAGATCACCATTTTGTGGACAAAGAAAAAGTCACACAGTAGCAGAACTGGGATTCTAAACTGGGTCTCCTAAGACTAAGACTGAGTAGTATACTTTCCTCTGTATTATGACGCCTCCAAATGAAGAATCATTCAAAAACTTTGAATTATTGAGGAGCTAAGAGAGGATTAAATCAAATTCCTATCTCACGCATGAATGCCTTCAACAATAATGTTGTCAAGGGATCATCTACACTTTGCCTGAAGATTTCTAGTGACAGGGAGCTCACTACCTCAAAGGTAGCCCATTCTTCTTTTGAAAGTTCTAATTGTCATGAAGTTTCTCTTTGTACTAGATCAGAATATGTCACCTTGTGGCTTCCTAATTCTTCCCTTTGGCATTAAGTAGGACACCAGTTTCTGATGACAATCCTTTAAATATTTAAATTAGCTAAAAATATCTCTCCTAAATTATCTGTTTTTCAAGCAAACATTCAAAGTCACACAGGAAGTTCTTAACAGTGCCAGGATTTAAACCTCAATCTTCTTGAATCTTAATCTAATCCTTTTTCAAGGCATAGGGAATAAAAGCTGTGTGTTATCTCTTCCTGGTGGCTTGGACTAATACTGGATGATCCTTCTTCTAGTACAATCCTAGATTATATAAAAGAATTAGAACAATTTACATTGACTTATATTTTTTTATAAATGAACATGTACGTACAGTTTCTCTGATTTACTAGTAACCATAGAGTACAATGGTCACTGACCTTTCTCTTAAGAGGGTGAGGAGTAGAGTTAACATTTTCAGCATTTTTCTCCCTTTTTCCTTGCTTCTTGTCAAAGGGACATTTTGTTAATGAGTTCTAGACCATTCTGTTTGGAATATGAGTCATGAAATATATTCATGACTTTAATGAATCAGTATTAACTGACTATTTCTACAGTTGTGGGAAGCCATAAAACACACCGTAAGTACTGAAATAAAATTAAATCTATTTTAGTTTCCATTAGAAGAAAATCTTTCATTTTTAATTTCTTCAGAGTTGCTAGGGGCTAGGATTCAAGTCTAGTGAGTTTTCCTGGAAAATGTGAAGAAAAGGATTTGTGAAACCTATAGCCGCATTAATTATGGGGAGATAGACATCCAACAGAATTTTTTTTTCTTTTTCATTGACAGCATATGCTAAAACCCCAAGCAAGTTTGCACGGTGGCATACATTATAAGAGTGTGAAAAGTAGATGGAAAAAAATTCAGAGTACCTGATCCACCACTGCACTGTTATTCCTAGATGAATGTGAAAAGAAAGGCCTAATTTTTCCAATTAGTATCTGACATAGCCCTTTTCTTTGGTTAGTAACAGACTTTCTTGTGTCTGGTTGGTTTGAAAATTCATCTTCCATTCCAGACATAACAGGAAGGATGCTCTGGATGATACAGCTGGTTCTGCATGGAGACAATATATATGTCAATGGGAAGGAGGCCACAAGGTCCATGTAGAGTCCACAAAATTTCCTCAGAAAGGTTCCACTGCAATCTCTTTCTTGCTATTTAGCAAGTTCTCCTAGGAGCTCCCTCAATGGAACTGTGCAACCTGGCCTGCTTGGAGCCAAGAAGGTGGGTTTTGCTTCTAAAAAGCATCTTCTAAAAAGATGACAAAAATACAGTGTTTAGATTGTAACTGTTGCAGTACCTTGTATTTATACATACATAAGTGTGTATATATGTATGTGTGTGTATATATATATATATGTACCTATGAACATATATATGTGTATATATATATTTACCTATGTACTTATATATGTACATATGTATATATAGCCACCTAGTGGTGCATATATTAGAATATATAAATAACACATGAATTTCATATATATATATATATATACATATATATGTATGAATTATTACATTAACCTATACAATTTGGTTATAGGAATTGATTTTTGTTCATCCTTCATTCTAGAAGAGGACCGCTGATTTGGGGGGTGATATTTTGATGTGCAAGTGAATTGGATTTAAGGAAGACAGAGCTGTGCAAAGTCATCAGCCCAACCCTCTGCACCACAGTCATCAGAGTTCTGAGCAACACATAGGTCAGGACCACTGGAGGCAGCACCAGATGGAGTAAAAGACCTTGAGCTTTCTAAGCTAAGATCCTTCCCAAGTTTCAGTTTCTCTGAGGCACCACCCATTCAGTGATTAAGTTTGGTAAGCAATGAGGCAAAAGATGGCCTACTGTGCTTCACAAAAGAATGCATATGAAGGTGGAAGACCTTCAGAATTTCTGGCCAGAACAAAAGGTGCCTTTTAAGTGAGGATAGGCCTGTACAGCTAAAACAAGTGATATCTGAAAGAAGTGACATCAGTCATTTATATCTTTGTTCAAAGTGATCAGTTCCTAAGAACAAAATCTGCCAGTCTTGCAAAATTTCCTGGATGAGAAGGGACAAATGTATAATTCAATCTGGGGATTGCATAATACATAAACAGGGATTGTGTCTAGGAGGGCACACTTGAGTGAGAAGCTTAATGACAATCCCTTAGGTGGTAGAGAGCCACGAGGCATCCCCTTCAAGAGGAAGGAAGGTGACAAAAAATGTAGGTGAGGGGAAACGTCAAAAACGTGAGAGTTCTTGAAGACAAGCTTTATATCCTTCTCAACTTAGCATGGGCTCATCCCTGTTTAAAATGTATCCATGTGTCAGCACCACATGTAATTCAGTATAGGATTGTTCCAACTGGGCTTTCCATTATAACTCAGTGTGTGCTGGTCTCTTTGGGATCATTCCAAGAAAGATTCTTTGCTCTGAGTGTTATTCAACATGGTTATACTTGATTGAGGTAAAATGGTGAAATATTTAACTTTGTTTGTCTTTACTGGGACTGACCCTGAAGAGGGCAAAAGAATGGATTTAACAGGCCAGGTATCCCTAGGAAATTTGGTGCTGTAATTCAGCAATCTACATTTTTAGTGTCCTCCATTTTCCTTTTCAGCATTCTCCTGGGGGTGGGGGTGAGGTGGCCAGTGCCCCAAAATGCCCCAACCCTCATTGCCACATACCACTTTGTCCTACCCTGTCCAAATCATCTCCTCTCCAACCTTCAATCAAAGCCTAGCTCAAGCCCATAGGTTCTAACACATCCCTACTATATCCTAGAAGAATGCTATATTATCCTAATGACTATTAATGTAATACTGTCCTTAGCCTAAGGAATTTGCAAGATGAATGCAACAGAGATGATTCTAGCACTGTATAGTGAGTGAAGGGTAAGAGTGGGTGATTCACTGAGACTACTGATGACTTTTTGCACACGATATTCATTATTCTCAGTAACATCTTTAAAAAAAGTATACATATATATTTGTATACATACATATCTATATCTATATCTATATGTTTGTTTAATGTACTTAGCTCCACATGCTGAATACAACAAAAAGATATGAATACACACACATTACAGCTTGAAACAAATTGGGATGTGACATGACCTCTCAGAAGTGAAGCCTCCTCGGAGGGTCAATAGTTCTTGTTAATAAGTCCCTATATTGCTTTCAAAACCCTCCCCCGCTCAGACCCTGTTTCTAGCAAACAAAAATAACTGCCCTTCCCCCAACCTGAACTGCTTGCTCTTGGGAAACTTCCAGCCTTTCCTTGTCTCCAGGCAAGTTTGTGAAACTGGTTTCTGTTCTCTGTTGCTGGGTAGATTTCCTCAAATAGATTGTGTCTCAAGGCTTGCATCAGTGGACTGAGAGGAAGGGGGAGTGGGGTTAGGGGTCTCTATAATCTTTCTTGCTAAGCACACTCTTGCACTCTTCCACCAGAGCCATTTTAGGCAGAGAGAGGGTGCCCTTTCTTGAGAAAGCTAATAAAGAAGTCTTTCTCTTTGCTACATCTGAGTCTCCAGAATTTATTGGTAAGGGTCTTCACGTCCCACATAGTTGTGGGAAATCCTCCGGGATTTCACCCCCTTTTTGGGGACTCCCTTAATTCAGGGGCAGGCGATGCCAGACTTTACTGGTGGCCTCCAGGTCTCAGCTGAGGAGGGAAAAGCCCGAAGGGAAATCTCAGAAGCAAAATGAAAGTTCTGCAGCACTGGTAACTAGAAGACCACCATGGCCACCCATGTGAAGTGAAGGAAATTTTCAGTCATGTAAGTCTGTGGGCACAGACCCAGGTCTGGGAAGGCTTGGAACCCAGCGGGATGCCCGTAAGGTGTCGCAAGCCCAGACCGGCAACCCTCTGGGTAACCAGGTTTCCCAGAGTCTAAGCAGAGAGGTCCATAACACATGGAGAGAATGAAGTCCCCTGAGGATGTGAGGGATGGCTCACAGTGAAGTTCCCTCATTAGTATCTCCCTGCTACACTCCTAGCTCTCTCCTGCACTCTACCTGAGTGTGAGAGATGGCCTGCAGTGCAGTTCCCACAGGCCTAAGTTTCCTTCCTCCTGAAAGCCTTGAGTTCAGTTTGCATTTTCCCCAAAAGTTTCTATTTCTCCAGCACCAGGTCAGCATGGGTGGGGGAGCTTGGTTGCCTGGTTGCTCCTAGCTCCTAGTGCACATGTGCATCTAGTCCAAACACGGGCATATTTGCTTCTATTGGGTATTAGTTGCTACTTTTAGAATGTACACCCTGAGTACCCAGTCAAAGGAGAAAGGGGTAAGAGAGTGAGAGGGGGCATCGCGTTAGGGGATAAAAAGCCCAGGGTACAGCTCCCAACTCATACTCTCCTGGCTGGCAATGGTGACTAGTGGCGGTACCCTTTCTCATGAGAAAGCAATAAACTCCTTTCTGCTTTCAAGGTATCTTTCAAGTCTTTGTTTTTATTTTGAGTGGGTGGTCTCTGTCCCACACAGTTGGGGGCTCTCTGGGATCCCCTTTACTTGGGAAAGGGCCTCCCAGCCAGTCCTAGGACAGGCCCCCACTGGCCACTTACCAGTAGTCTGTGGAGTGGTTTGGGAGTTTCCTTTCCCTTTTAAGGAATGGACCCGAAGAAAGACAGATACCTGCAAGCAGAAACAAAAGCAAACAGAGTTCCAACGGTGCTAGCAAAGACAGTAGACAGAGAGAAGAGAGAGAACTGAGTTTTGGACGATCACATAAGTTGTGCGCACATAACCCAGACGAAAGATCCAGGGAGCCCTGAGATACTTTTTGGAGCAAGATCTGGTGAGCATCTGGGTGACCAGGGAGGGGGCAGGGAAGGTCTTGGTACCTGTGCCTCCACATCGAGTGAGTCCTTGGGGAAGGACAAGAACTTGTTAAACATGGGAAAAGAACAGTCCAAAACAGCTAGCAGAGAGAATTTTCCTAGCATTCCAGAAGATAGCCCTCCTGGGAGTAGACTCCAGAATTGGAACGAGTCATCAAAATATAAAGGGAAAGACAAGAGAAAAGAAACCTGATGAAATATCGCTGCTTAGTTTGGGCTGGCGATGCCTAAATTGTGCAGAGGATTTCTAACAATTCTCTCCGAGCTTTTGGATTCTCCCTGTCATTTTCTGTCTGTATCTGTTTCTGTGTTTGTGTCTGTGTGGTGTGAGTGAGTGTCCTGTGTAACTTGATGCCCTTTGCAGCCAGGTAGCATCCCAAGGCTGCAGCTGGACTATGTGCAGTTTTAAATGGATTTTAATCAAAGTCCCTCAGAGGGATAAGAAGGTAGAAGGAAAGGTAAGAAAGTTTAAGCATGTAGGAGAGAAGAGTATGTGTAGAAAGTTTAAGGAAGGCATAATTTATTTGTACAGCATGAAAGAGGTTTGGAAAGTAAAAGGTTTAGAAACTCTTGAAGAGTTGTTGGAAAATATTCTCTTCCTCTCTCCCACATTCCAACTTTGACCAAGTTGTTGAATGTAGAAGAGAGAAAGATAAGGAGGAAAGGAGGGTGAATCTTTCCCCCTCAGATCAAAGGGAGGCAGGCTAAATAAGCCTTTAACTGTTCTCTGCCTTACCTAAAAGAGAAAAGTTTTTGTGTAATAGGACCCAACCAGAAAGAAATTGAATTCATTCTGGTTGTATTTTTAAAAAAAGTATGAAAAATGTAATGTGTCACTCCTAATTCAATTCTTAAGATATGTTAGAATTTATTTTACTATTTGGCACTAAAGTAAGTAGTAAACAAAAATCTTGAGCAGGCAGCTTAGAGTGAAAGGCTGATAGACTAATTTAAAAACCAATAGACAAAGTTATGGAGAGATGGAAGGAATTATGTCCACCCACCTTTTGGGTGGGTTCCATTAAATCTAATATGGATACTGGCTATGGTAAAGATATTGGTTATTGTGAGTTATGATTATTACTGTTCAATTAATTATCAAGCTCCAGAGGTGTCTTCCTGGAGGGAAAGCTGATCGTACTTTGTCAGCATCGATTCAAATTCTTTAAGCTTGCTTTTCTTTCTCCTGGGCCAAAAAGAAGTAGTTAGATCACTGGCCCAGCACATTTTAAACTGACTGATTACAACAGGTGATTCCATAATGTTTGTAAAACTTTTGCAAGACAATGTGGACATGAATACGGAACTGAAATATTGAAGCAATATATGAATTTGTGGATAATATTCCTTTATAAAGGGACAAGGGTACTGAACTGAGAAATGTATAGTTGTATAATTTGAAAAGTACATATTGCTATTTGGCATTAAGAAATTTATTAACTATATGGCCCCAAGAAAGTTCTATTGACTTTAGTTTACTGTTCAGTAAGAGGATGGTGGTGGAATTCATTCCCAAGGATATTACAAAGATCACATGATTGTAAAGGTGCTTGGCACAATGCTTGGCAATAAAACAAATGCTATCTGAATGTAAACTGTTTTTAGTTAAATATAATTGCTTCACATTCATTAACTTTATGTGGATTTTCTTCTGTGTGAAGTTTATGTCAATGGTGATGAAATGAATGATTCTCTGTCTAAGGCAATTTGGGAACACATCCAATTCTTGTAGAGCCACCAGAGTGGTAATTAATTAGTTTTGGTTTTAAAGTTTAAATAGATGATAGTTGTTTATGGTATTGTTGTATTTCTAAAATTTTCCTTTATTGCAAATTTGGGAAACAACTGTATCATCTGTATTGTCGGAAAAGCAATTTCTCTTATAATCTAAGTGTTGTTACGTTAAGAACTGTACTGTAAAAAAAATGATGAATGGGTTAGGAAACTTTTAAATCATTCTCTTTAACAATGTACTATAACATTTTGAAGTATTGTAATTTAAGAAAACATAAAATTTCCAAATTTTGTCTTTATTTAAAGGGAATTTTCAGTTAAAATCATTTTACTATCATTTATGAAATTTGTGAGATTGTTAACTAAGTTATTTGGGGTTACTGTTTTAATGCTAAAACCTAAAAGGGTTAATTAATTACTGTATGTGAAAAGAAGGGGACTGTGTAAAGCCTTATCAGCTTGGTTCTGCCCATTCAAGGGCACCAGTATCAGCCCTCTCTGAGGTCCATGTCAATTCTCCTTATTTTGTAAACTTACCAAGGTCCCTAGAAACCATCTGTGTGGGCAAGGTCATCTGCCCTGAGAAAAGAACTTGTTAGGATTCTGCAGTTCCTAAACAATGAACTTGGCATGCTAAGAATTTGCAAGTGTATAGAAATGATTTCTAATGATTGGCTTTTACACCAGGACAAGTTTGAATTTG